TTTTTTTTCCTTTTTAATGTTTCTTCTTTTGTAAGTTTGTGTATTCCTTTTCTTCATTTTTTTTTAGTTAAAAGGAAAGGTATCAAATGGCCTCATTTGAAGTAGGCAAATAATACAGGCATAAATAGTGTCAGAACTGAACTCACTGAAGAAAGGGAGCAATAAATGTATGATCTCTCATTTATTTCCTGTTCTGTTTTTTTTTTCCTTCTTCAAGATGGTAATAGCTGACTCTTTCCCGGATCAAGGTGGCTTCTTCAGTACAATTAATTGAGTAAGACTCTAAGAACTGTAACAGATTCTTATAGGTTGTTTGAACTTCTGTTTTAGGAAAACCAGCAGCTCCCAATAAAACAGAGAGCATTCTGAGCCGGAAACCCCCCATTCAACCAAAGCCCGTGGTGGTAACCACTGTCCCAGGACAGCCAGCAACCTCTTCCAGTAAGACCATCTTGTTACAGCCAGTACCTGTAACCCAGTCACAGACTGTCAACTCTGGAATCTCAGGTAAGCCGACCCAGGGGACTTATATTTGGACGTTAATGGGGCAGTTTCCAGTAACTGAATGCGTCTTCTTCTTGTGCCATATCCATTATCGGACGTTGGCGATCATGTTGGCGATCCTGTTTTTATCAGCAGCCGCAGGAAAAAGTGCTGCTGAGTTTTGTCCAAACCAGTCCCTTAGATTTTGAAGCCACGATGTCCTTCTTCTGCCTGGACCTCGTTTGCCTTCAATCTTTCCCTGGAGGATTAAATGGAATATGCCGTATTTTTCTGGGTGTCGCATCACATGTCTGAAATATTCTAATTTTCGTTTAGTTTTGTTTTTTAAATTTTTATTGAATAGAAAAAGAAAAAAAAGGAATTAAAAACATTGAACATGGTAAATCATCTTTGACAGACATCTCAGTCCATATTTACATTAATTACAAATAATATATCTCTTTACAATAGCACCATACTAATCTCAATCTTAACTTATCTCATTACAATGACCTCCATTTTTTCCCCCCATCATCTATAAAATTTATTCCATATTTGATAAAAGTCTGTTTCATCCTGATTTTTTAATCTTTTAGTTATCCTGTCTAATTCTGCGCAATACATGATTTTTTGAATTAGTGTTTCCCCACTCGGTACATCTGTAACTTTCCATTTTTGAGCAAATAATATCCTTGCCGCTGTAACCACGTGAATGAATAAATATGTGTCATCTTTATTTACATTTTTTTTCTAGTATTTTCGTTTTTTAATTGTTTTGATGATTTCCCTTGGCTTTCCCAGGCGGCTGATCACCTCCTCATTTCTGATCTTGTCAACCCAGCTTCTACGTAACAGCCGCCTGTAAATCCACATTTCAAATGCTCCTAGTCCAGGGGTGTCAAACTCAATTTCATTGAGGGCCGCATCAGCATTGCGGTTGCCCTCAGGGGGCCGGGTGGGTGCGGTCAGGATGGGTGCGGCCTACTGGGTGGGCGTGAATGGAGTGGGTGTGGCCTACTGGGTGGGCGTGGCCAGCTCTACATCATTCACATCAAGGGTGCCTGCGGGGGCCTGGGCAGGAGTGGGACAGATCTGAGGGTCTCTGGCAGAAGGGGGTGGCATGGTCCACTGGAGGAGCCTCACTCTTCCTCTCAGGCCATGCTGGGGGGGGGCTTATGGAGCTAAGACCGAATGCGTTTCAGCATAGATAGCCACCACAAAATTATACATGGGGTCCTGGCCGGCCTGGGCCAGGGCCAAGGTAGAGGGGGCCGTTCCCTCACTGTTTCCAGGATGGCTTCACGGGCCACATGAAACCACTTCTTGGGCCGCATCCGGGCGTTGTGTTTGACATGTCTGTTCTAGTCTCTTTAGGTGGCCTTCTGTCAGAGACCAACTCTCTACTCCATAGCTGAATGTGTACAGACTGGAAATGTCATATGGGATGGTACACAGGCTTGTTTACTTTGGGGGGGGGGAAGGGAGGCATTCTGAGGAAAGGACTTTTCTTATATGAAGACTATGGTGTATGTGAAGAAGTGTTGTGGCTTTTTTTTTCTTTCTTTTTGCCTCAGTTCCAGCACAGAGTGTTGTGATTTCCCAATCTGAGCTACTGCATCTCCCAGTGTCTGGTTTGATCAAGGTTCAGTCTCCAGTGAAGGAGGTTCTCTCACCTAAACCAGCACCCTCAATCCCCAAGCCAGAAGCTAAAACTATCATCCCTGCACCAGCACAGATAGGACCCTGCAACCAAGAGATTGATGTAAGTTTGAAATCCTTAGTTCCACAACCTTTTCTCCTCCAGCAACTTCAAATCCTGGGCTTGGTTGTTTGCTTACCCAGTTAGGTAACCTCATCAGTGTTAGAAAGGAATGCAGTTTGTTTTCTGTTTATAGACATTGTTTTGCCTGGCCCATGTTAGTGGATATGTATTTTTTTCCTTGGCAGTTCCTCAATTAGGATATTGTTTTCTGCTTGAAACAGAAAACAGAAGCAGAAAGCAAAGCCTGCCCTCACCAATGCTGATGATGTTACCTAGTCAGGTATTGAAATGTCTGCAAACAACCACGGAGCACCAAGGACTTCACATGGGCAGATTTACAGTCAGGACACATCATAAATAGCCAGGCTGTTCTGTTAATCTCCTACATTTTAACGATCTCCAAAAAGAGAAATAAGTACAATAGCAACAGTTTGCAAATTTATAGTCTATAATTGTTGCTAATTGTTGTGGCAGAAGAGAAAATAAGATAAACAAGGTAAGTTTTACCTGGTGAACAAATCAGAATGTTGAGCTAAAGTCAGCGGAGGATCTGGAGGATGCAAAGAACTCTGTGTGACCTACCTTTGATGCAAAATGGAGAACTGAGTTTCAGAAAACAAGTATAGAAAAAAATATACGTGTCCATCTGTTCTCCACAGTAAATGCCAAAGAATCCTGAACTTCATCCCTTCTTTCTTTTATACCATGGATATGAATATTATTTTCCTTACTCATTTGCTCAAGATCAAGGTCCTGAAAAGGCAGCAGCGGATGATAAAGAACCGTGAATCNAAATGGAGAACTGAGTTTCAGAAAACAAGTATAGAAAAAAATATACGTGTCCATCTGTTCTCCACAGTAAATGCCAAAGAATCCTGAACTTCATCCCTTCTTTCTTTTATACCATGGATATGAATATTATTTTCCTTACTCATTTGCTCAAGATCAAGGTCCTGAAAAGGCAGCAGCGGATGATAAAGAACCGTGAATCGGCTTGTCAGTCGCGCCGAAAAAAGAAGGAATACCTCCAAGGATTGGAATCCCGGCTGCGAGAGGCCTTAGCGGAGAACGAGCGGCTGCGGCGGGAAAATGCTATCCTTCGGCGCCGGCTAGATGGTGTCTTGGACGAGGTGAGCCCTTTCCACCAGGAATGAGACTTGTGGCTTTCTTAAGAAAGCACATTGTCATTATTATCCCCCATATCATGGGGACCCTAGCTGAGAACTTTTCGATTTTCAAATGGGGTATGCAATAGAACAGGTGTCCCCAACCCCCGGTCTGTAGACCGGCACCGGTCCGTAGCATGCCAACAAACGGGCCTCACAAACAAAAAAAGCCTCATCCATGGGATGCAGGCAGTACACAAAGCCACACCCCTTCTGGTCCGTGGTTTTTCCACGGCACTGGTCCCTGTTGTCCAAAAGGTTGGGGACCTCTGCAATAGAAGATGGCTGTGATTGCTTACGTCTACCTCCCAACTGAAATGCTGCAATTCAGAATATTAAGAGCCCTGGTGGTGCAGTGGTTAGAATGCAGTACTGCAGGCTATTTCTGCTGACTCCCGACTGCCAGCAGCTTGGCAGTTCGAGTCTCACCAGCTCCAGGTTTACTCAGCCTTCCATCCTTCCGAGCTGGGTAAAATGAGGACCCAGGTTGTTGAGGGGCGATATGCTGACTCTGTAAACCGCTTAGAGAGGACTGTAAAACACTGTGAAGCGGTATATAAGTCTAAGTGCTATTGCTATTAGCTAGCCAGCCATGTACCTCTGGGACAATCCATGTTGATTCGTTCTCCGCCTTTCTTTTTCCCCTGAGCTGGGGAGCTTTCTTTACAGGTAGGTCTCGAGTTACGACCCTAAGTGAGCCCAGAATTACAGTTGTAACTCGTGCTGGTTGTTAAGCGTTGCTAATTTTTTACACAACATTTTTTGTTGTGTTCGTTAAGCGAATCTGCAATCATTTACAACAGAGGTGTTATGTGAACCTAATGTCCGCAATGGACGTTTTTTTGCTGGAAATTATTTATGAGGTAAATTGTGGTCATGTGATTTGATTTTTTGATTTTGATTTTATTAGATTTCTACCCCGCCCTTCTCCTTGCGGACTCAGGGCGGCTTACAGCCCGTTAAAAACAAATAAACAAATACAAAAAAACATACCACATTTTAAAATCAATTAAAATAAAATATTGCAATAGGCCAATTAGTATCCTTTAAAACCGATAGAAAACTAATTAAAAGTAATACTTAGGCCAGTCCTGCCTGCTTAAAAAGCCACGTCTTGAGGGCGCGGCGGAAGGAGGGGAGATCTGGAATCACCCGGATCTCTGGGGGGAGTTCATTCCAAAGGGTGGGGGCTCCTACCGAGAAGGCCTTCCCCCTGGGGGTCGCCAGCCAGCACTGTCTGGCTGACGGCACCCTGAGGAGACCCTCTCTGTGGGAGCGTATCGGCCGGTGGGAGGTAATCTGAGGCAGCAGGCGGTCCCGAAGGTAACCAGGTCCGATGCCATGGAGCGCTTTAAAGATGATAATCAACACCTTGAAGCGCACCCGGAAGGCCACCGGCAGCCAGTGCAGCTCTCGCAGCAGCGGCGTTACATGGGAGCGACGAGTCCCTCCCAACACCGCCCGCACTGCTGCATTCTGGACTAACTGAAGCCTCCGAGTGCTCCTCAAGGGAAGCCCCATGTAGAGAGCGTTACAGTAGTCCAGGCGGGAGGTGACAAGGGCATGAGTGACTGTGCGCAAGGCGTCCCGATCCAAAAAAGGCCGCAATTGGTGAATCAGGCGTACCCGATAAAACGTCCCCCTGGCCACGGCCACCAACTGATCTTCTAGTGTCAGCCGTGGATCCAGGAGGACACCCAAATTGCGCACCCTCTCCGAGGGAGCCAAAGTTTCGCCCCCTATAGACAAAGTTTCGCCCCCTATAGACCATGGGACACTGCAAATGGCCTTAATGTAGGGCTGGTTGCTGAGTGCCCAGTATGTGATCAGGTGACGGAGGGGGATGGGGCCTAGCTGCCAGAACTTCAAATCCGGGTCATAAGTATCTCTTTTGCAGTTCATTGTAAGCTTTCAAATGATCCCTAAGCAACTGGCCGTAAGTTGAGGGCTACTGTATTTTTGATTTCTTGAATATAACACCATTTACAAAATTAACCAAACAAACCATTGTATAGTTTAATATTAAGTATGAGCCCTGTTACCTAATTCCTCATTTTTTCCTCTACTGTTATAGGGTATAGTGTAATATTCTTTCACTACTGAGCGGGCCAGTTCCTAGTAAGCTTGAATGCCAGGTGCTGGCAAAATATTTCATATTTTAAAATATTTCCTGTATTTTGGGAGATCTTACAGTCCAATTGAGAATGCTGCTATGACCTTCTTGTTCTGGCAGGTTTCATTTCTCCAATTCTGATAGGTGTTAGTTTGATAATTTAGGTGCACTATTAAAAGATAATAATAATAATAATAATAATAATAATAATAATAATAATAATAATAATAATAATAATAATAATAATATAAAAATAAAAGTAGTAGTAGTAGTAGTAGTAGTAGTAGTAGTAGTAGTAGTAGTAGTAGTAGTAAAGTTGGAAGGGACCTTGGAGGTCATCTAGTCCAACCCCCTGCTCAGGCAGGAAATCCTATACCATTTCGGGCAAATGGCTGTCCAGTCTCTTCTTAAAAACTTCCAGGGTTGGAGCATTCACCGCTTCTGGAGGCAGGTTGTTCCACTGGTTAATTGTTCTCACTGTCAGGAAGTTTCCCCTTAGTTCTAGGTTGCTTCTCTCCTTGATTAGTTTCCACCCGTTGCTTCTTGTCCTGCCTCCAGGCGCTTTGGAAAGAAGCAACGGGTGGAAACTAATCAAGGAGAGAAGCAACCTAGAACTAAGGAGAAACTTCCCCAGTCTGAAAGACCAGACTGGGGACAGATTGTCCTGGAGAAAATCTATGCATATGGTCACTAAGAGTCAACACCAACTTGACGGTGCAAATTCAGCCAGGATAACTTAGTAATTAGCTGTTCTATGCAGCAATGAGCTGGGAAAAGCTGCAGCATTGACTCAGACAATTCCATTAGAAGGAGCTGTAAATTTTGAATGTGGTGTGCCATGATGCCCAATAACTTGCCTATCTTCCCGTATAGAACAGCGATCTGAAGTTTGGCTCCGGGAACCGAAAAGTTATCTGTGTCATGGTTGTGCTGCTCTTCATAGCCTTCAATTTTGGGCCTGTCAGGTGAGACTTCCTGGCTCTTTTGGGGCTCCATTCTCAGCTTGGGTTGTGAGATTGTGTCGCTCCTCATTCTCCATCTGGAAGCCCTTCAAAGCTGTCACATTGCTTGGACAGTCAGCTTCATCTACTGTAGGTGTGCGTGTGTGTGGGCAGTGGTCCTTCAGACACGTTTGTATTTGTTCAGTAAAACGGCTCAGAACAGTGGTTCTCAACCTTTTTAATGCCGCAACCCCAACCGGTCGTAAGTCGAGGACTAAACCGGTCGTAAGTCGACTAAACCGGTCGTAAGTCGAGGACTAAACCGGTCGTAAGTCGAGGACTACCCAACTGATCGTAAGTCGAGGACTTTCCCTGCCCGGGAGCGTCGCGCATGCGTGGTTCCGCCCCCTGCGCCGGCTGAGGCGTAGCTGGCAAGCGGCAGAGATGGAGCAGGCCGACCACCAGCTGGCCCAGCCCAAGGGAGGTAAGACACCCGCCCAAAAAGGGTGAAAAAAATGGACCAAAAAAAATGGGGGAAAAAAATGGCGGACAGCCTTGCTTGGCGACCCCCGTGAAATGGTCGATCGACCCCAAATGGGGTCCCGACCCACAGGTTGAGAACCACTGGCTCAGAAGGATTTCTTTTTGTGTTGACCTGCTTCTGAGAAGAATGTTGCCTGTCTGTTGAAGTCACTTCTACAGAGTATGTAGGAGCCTAGGTAGGAGATGAGCAAGTAGACATGAGAGTGGGGTTAAAGTTTAGAGTTCTAAGGTTCCCACAAGAGACCTAAGTCCAGCCCCCTGTGAATTCTGTTGACCCTTATCTAGTGCCAGTTTGGTTGACCATAAGTAGATCGCATTCATGTCAGGCGCAGGAACGGGAGTACAATTCAAAGCAATAAAAGTTTATTTCATGCTACCTATACACAAGAATCTAATCTATTAATGGTCAAGCCAAATTAGGGC